AGGTTAGGGCGGCCTTCGCGATGTTCGAAATTTATGTAGTGGGGATAAGACGGTAGTAGTAGAATACACCAGGATACACTGATACAGAGACTCAGAGAGGCACAAATGTGTAGAAGCGTGTATTTTAATCAATGTTATTTAATATTAATCAATGTTATTAATTAATTCCTAAGTGAAAACATTATTTTACATCTAGTGGATACACGGGTACCCGGTTGTGCCCATTATGTACATGTAATAAAGTCATGTAGTTTAGGTTAAAAAAAATTGAAAAAAATATTATGTTGGTGGTTTTATATTCTAAAAGAGTTAAATAATGGGGATCCGGAGGGACAAATCGATATTTCAATTTTTAATCAAGTTATGAGCAATAATATGGCGCGGTGGATACACGGGTACCCGGTTGTGCACATAAGGGTTAATGATGAATTTTCAGTTATCGAAGCGGAATTCGGAGCACCGATTCCAATATAAATGGCGGGTGTAATTAGCCAGTATACACATCTCAAGTTAGAAGACGTTAATGAATTTTAATTTTTAGACATTAATAAATAGATACTGATTTATTGGTTTTTTGATTGCAATATCAGTCTTTACTCAAAGTTCAAGATTGTTAATCTAATGGTGGTGAATGAAATATGAAAATTGCATAATTAAAAAACAAATTTTATAACTCTACATTTAACAGAATTAAAACTGTCAACAGATTTTCATCTGCTGAATAAATAAAATTAATTTTAATGTTGTTGATATTAATTTATAATTTATAAAATTTAGACATTAATTCCATAGTCACATTGAAACATTTGAAATATTTTTTTATTGTTAATTTTGTTTTCAATACTGATATGAAACAATGATTAAAATTTGAAGAATATAAGACAAGCAAAATTAACAATAAAAGAATATTCTAAATGTTCTAATACAGTCACTTGCGAAATTAATGTTTAAATCTTATAAATGAAAATTGACATCGACATATTAAGGCTGCGGTCCGATTGATGCTCACAACGTTTTTGGAATCATTTCATCCTTGTTATTAATCAAATATTAAATAAAGACAAATGCTCTTGAGCGCAGCCCAATTTCATTTATTTAAAAAAAAAAACAAAATATAACTAGTTAAAATAAATTTTAAAAAATTAAAAAAGCAATATAAAAAAATATTTTAAAAAGTAACGCGGGCAGCAGATAAAAATCTGTTAACAATTTCAATCCTGTTAAAGATAAAGAGTTATCAAAATATGTTTTTTAATCCTTTGCAGCACGGTGGCATTATGGAATGTCACCTTTTCCGTAACCATTTTCTGAATAACTGGGGTAGTTTTCACTCAATTTTCGAACTTTTTTTTGTTTTCGTATCAGTTATACATTCCAGAATAAGAATCGATGTGCAATAATTTGAAATCACGGCTGATTTTGTTTATACAAATAAACAAACGTTGAAAAATTGCAATTTTTCTGGAGAAAATTCATTATCTCCGAAAGTTCTCAAAGTTTCCACGCAAAGATCTTTCCTCAAAAGTTTTTGGGGTCGCTGATTACGAATCCCCCACTAAACACAGTTATGTTATTGTTACATTACTATTACACAATTCAACGTAACAAGTAATGTTATGCTGATGTTACAAGTAACTTAAATGTAAGTTTCAATTTCCGCCTCAACAACGTAACAACGTAATGTTACATTTCACATAACAGTTATGTTACTTAATTACGTAAATATTGAAAAAAAATTATTTTTTTAAATATTATTTTTAAAGTTTAATCTGTATTTATAACTATTTCGTATATTTTCTATTTAATTATTAATTACAATTTATACGCAGGTTTATAATTTTTGGAAACATCGAGATTCGAACCTGAGATCCCTAGAATAGTAGACTTGTACGCTAACGCTGAGCTAATGATACATTGTGGAAAGAACTTA